AGCGTCAATTTTGGCTCAAGTTGTGTTTAACAGGTGTTGGATTGAGTTTCGTTACAATTGGAGTTGATTTGAAGAAGTTGGAATCCGACAATCGGCGTTTGAGAAGCATTCGGGCAGAGTTTGGAAGCATTCGAGAAAGATTTGGAAGATTTGGAGGTCACCGGGAGATTCACGACGAAATTCTGATGAAGAAAGAGCATTTGGATCGACCTCATAGGCATCCGGGAGCATTTGGAGCAAGAAAACGAAGGAAAAGTGAAGACTTAAGTCAGGCACGGTCGTGCCTGGAGTTAGGCACGCCGTGCCTGGAGATTAAAATACCTGGGAGCTACTGGAGGCCAGGCACGGTCGTGCCTGGAAGCTAGGCACGCCGTGCCTGGACGCGAAAAAACGGATTCCTTCCGTAGACACGGTCGCAGGCACGGTCGTGCCTGGCACCGTGCCTGGCCGCGATTGATCCTAATTCGACCCGAATTCGTTGTTTTCTATAAATAAGGCCTCCATAACCCCGTTTTGGAGGGTTACGAACTTCGGAGAGAGGCCTAGGGACGAGTTTACCTGCGTTTTTTACGTTGTTTAATCCAAGAACCTGGGATTCTTTGTAAGTTCAATTCTTTAATTAATGACAATTATTTCTATTCATTCCAATTCTTTTGATTCGTCAATTATGAGGCGTGAGCAGTTTAATTAGGGATTTGGGGTTGATGAAGGGGTTAATCATGATTGATGGCTAGATTCTTGTCGGTTTAATTGCATGAATGCCGTTTAATTTGTGTTTGAATAATTTAACTGATATCTCTTGTAACCTAGATGGCCACTAGAATTACAATTGCTTATAGAATAAATTAAGAGAGATCTAATTTGTTCTAGGACACATTCACACACACTTAATCGTTCGCTAAGAGATTAGTAGCGATTAAGGGGCCGTAAGCTCGTTCGATTTGGCAATAATTTAGGATCTTGTCGCATGAGAGATCAGCCTGGACCCCTAAATTATTGTACTCTACGCCGCGAGAGCGGTAAGAACTTAGTAATGATTAACTAGGCTCAATTAAATTAATTCATGTAATTAGGCCTGTTCTGCCAGAAATCTGGTTAACCCCGGAATCAATTCCTGTTCCCTTTGTCGTTAATTAAGGAAAACCAAATCTTTTTATTCGCTCATTAGCATTAGTTTTATTTTAATCAATCAACCAATCTTGCACAATTGCACTTTTATTTTATTTATTTCTTTTCAATCGCTAAGTTTAGTTAATCTTTATTTCCCTTTTGTCCGTCCCTGTGGAGACGATACTTGTACTTTACACCACTTTTCTACAACCATTTTAAGTGCGAGAAAACACACATCAGTTTTTGGCGCCGTTGTAACACCCCGGGCCCGCAGGACCCGAGGTAGTTACTCCGGACCAATAGTACTGTCCCCACAAACCACCACGAGCCTTTACCGCGCACTTTGTCCTCACTCATGCGCGCCCTGAGAAACTTCCCAGGGGGTCACCCATCCCAAGACTACTCCCATGCAAGCACGCTTAACTTTGGAGTTCTTGGGTGATGAGCTCCCTTAAAAGGAGATGCATCTCTGTTTTTATGAGTAGTACTATTAATCCGTTTATATTAAATCTCAAGTGTTACAATCAGCCCCACTTAGGAACGCAACGTCCTCGTTGCGCCCTTAAACCAATCTCAATCAAACCCCAGAATCTTTCTCCCTGCTAGGTATCTGCCCGATATCCAACAGATCAGCACACTGTCGCAGGGTTGCTCTGATACCATCTGTAACACTTGAGATTTAATATAAACGGATTAATAGTACTACTCATACTAACAGAGGTGCATATCCTTTTAAGGGAGCTCATTACCTAAGAACTCCAAAGTTAAGCGTGCTTGCTCGGGAGTAGTCTTGGGATGGGTGTGTTGGAAATATGCCCTAGGACAATCATAGTTTATGATTTATCAATAAATATTTAATGCTCATTAATTAATAAAGTCACAAACTCATTTTATGTTAATTATTATTGTGAGTTTTCTTTATTAATATTTAGTCCCTGAATATTCTGTTTAGTAGCTAATTAAGTATGTGACTTAATTGTGGAATGCTACACTTTAAATTAAACATAATATTCTAATTATCCCTGGTCTAATATTATTAATTTGGGACATTAATAATTAATAGACCAGTATGTTGATTAACTGATGGCTATATTCCACTAGTCATGGGTATAGAGATATCAAGTTAATAACATAGATACTTGTTAGGGAACAAGTTCATTGGACAGACCCAACTTGAGGACACTGCTAGGTTATATGTCATCAGTGTTGTCCTCAATAATGATGAGGTGCTATATTCTTATACTTGAGATAATCATGGTTACTAACATGAGAATTAATATGTATTAACACCATTAAATGTTATCTTTAACTGGGTAATTATAAAGGTGGTGATTGTACATATTATGAACCATGTAGTAGTATGTGAATTATCAAGATAGTTTTTGTCACTCTTGTATATCGAGAGAAAGATATCTATTGGGCCCCTTGACAAGTAAGATTAATTAGCATGGCCATGCACAAATGAGGTGTCATTTGATCGAGATTAATCTTACTTGGTAATCAAGAAATATTAATTGAGAATAACAAGGATGACACGACCTAACCTTGTCTCAATTAAGATATCGTTTGACAAAAGAGAATTGTTAGCACAAATTAATCATTAAAAGGTTATGTCAGATTTAATTGACATTTATATATTTTTTGGATAGTCATAATGCCTTGCTAGAGGCCGCTTATGATTTGTGAGGCTCGAATTAATTTCTAGCCCACTACCAATAATATATAAACCTACAGGGTCACACACCTAAGTGATTTGGATCATTAATGTTTGTTAATAACATTAAAATAGCTTGATTAGCCCAATTCGAAATAGGTTTTCGAATGGTATTGGGCTAGGGCCTCTTTAAGGGTTTTATTAGCCATAAAACCCCTTCTTTACTCCTCTTATAAATAGGGCCATATAGACCCACGAATTTTAAGAGTTAAAATTCACTTCTCAAACCTAGAGTAGAGAGGAAGAAAGAAGAGAACGCTAGCACGTTCCCTGCGGCCGATCCAGTCACGTGCGTGTGGATACCGGTAGAGCTCGGGATCGTTTTCTCGGACTGTCTGACATCCTTGATTAAGATTAATATGTAAGTCCCTCTTATGTCTTGTAATTTCGTTTATAATATGAACCTCAGATCCGATTGTTTACTTTTGGGTAGTAAAATTTTTGTTTATTCCGCTGCGTTTTTCTACCCGAAACCCAACAGTGGTATCAGAGCCTACGGTTCTTTATTATACTCGGGTTACACGATTTGATGTATAATCTATAATTTGATTATTTTGGGATTTATTTTCGGAATTAATTTTTTATTAATTTCGAAATTATTGATTTATTAATTTCGGAATTTATATGTGTATGTTATATTCCGAAATTTTATAAGGATGTGATATTCGAATGATTCGAACTTGATCCAATATATATTCACAATAATATTTGGAATGTTTTGTGATAATATTTATTTTACAAATCAGATCCGAATAGATTAGGAATTGGATGGAATCCTACAACCTAATTATTCGGAAGAGATTTGAATGGACATGAAAATTCAAGAGTTTGAATTAGATCCAATTTGATACTTATAATTTATGTTTCAGATTCCGAATATAACTAGTTATATATTGCTTCGTATATAACTTTGATACGAAGTTTAATTTGCTTCGTATATAACTAGTTATAACTAGTATAATTTATGTTATATATTGCTTCGTATATAACTAGTTATATACTATCAAGTTGTATAATTGGAATAATTTTGTGTATAACTATTCCGAACATAGATTGCTTCATTCGTATCAAATTCGGAATGTGTTATATATTGATTTCCCAATTTGAAATCAATAAGAGATTGAATTAGATCTAGTTTATATTTTTAGATCTAATCTTGGAAGTTTTAGCTTCTTGTTTTTCGGATGAGATCCGAATTGATTTTACAAATTTATTCTTCAATTATACAAATTTAGTGATCTGCCAAATTAGTTCAGAACGAAGAATACAAAATTAGTTGGGATGAGATCCATATTATAACATATTGGAATTAATCTATATTACTGATATGTTATCTGGGAAATTCGAATTTAATCACAAATTAATTATTTTCGAATTTTAGTTTATTAATTTTTATTCGTAGTTATATATGTGTATTAATCTATATTACAGATATGATCTGTATTTGTGCATATGTAATACGAATTGAATTTTCAATCCGTGCATGCGCAATTATTTTGCTCCGTTACAGGGACAGTTTGAAGTGGTTGTATAGCATGATCTGAATGTATGTTTTATATTATGTTGTTTTACGGCCTGCGTGTCGTTTCCCACTATCCCCTGTAATGGTTTTCAACCCCGTAGATTTTTAGTAGTACACTACACAGGTTGAAGATGTCAAGGAGATATGAAGATTTTGGGATCATGCTATATCACTGCACTAGTTTTAAATTATTTATTTAAATATTTGATTGCTGCATGTGTGTAATTATTAGTCCCGACTAATTATAAGTCTAAATTGCTTTCCCAATATGACCACCATTTAAACTATGCTAGTCGTGATATGTGTCTGCCAAAGCAGAGCATTTCACACTATCTTAGGAAGATGTTTTGAATGATCGTCATTCTCGGGTCTTAATATTGGTTTGGACTTACAAGGCCATCAAAATGGTTTTGGGCCTTGAAGCAAAGAGTGTTTGGATAATCAAATGATGTTGACCAAACAAACCAAGAGTCATATAGGATATGATTAACAAGAGTTGTTTACCTATATAACTAATTTTTAAGTGATAAGCCAAAGCTTACTTAAATTTTAGTGAAATATGGATCTTGGACCACTATATTTGGGACTTTCTATTTAATATAGTGGGAGTTATTTTTGAGCATTATTTAAAATTCTTTGCATTATTTGTTGTAGTAAATATGGCCGCCAACACAACTTTTTCACTGCGATCTATCCTTGAGAAGGAAAAACTTAATGGAACAAATTACATGGACTGGGATAGGAATCTGAGAATCGTTCTCAAACAAGAGCGTAAAGAATATGTCCTTGACCAACCAATTCCTGCTGAACCAGCGGCCAATGCTGCTAGAGCCATTAGAGATGCTTATGAAAGGCATGTCCGTGATGAAGTTGATGTCACTTGTCTGATGTTAACTATCATGGAAGCTAATCTTCAGAAACAGTTTCTGAATCGTCGTGCACATGACATCTCTAATGAACTCAAGAACGTGTTTCAGAAGCAAGCACGGATCGAAAGGTTCGAGACGACCAAAGCTTTGTTTCACACAAGGCTTACTGATGGAAACTCGGTTGGACCTCACGTGCTCAAGATGATTGGGCTTAGGGATCACCTGGAAAGACTTGGATCTCCAATTAGTCAAGAGTTGGCTACTGATGTGATTCTCGCATCACTCACTCCGGCATATGACCAGTTCATCATGAACTATAATATGCATGGTCTTGAGAAGACCTTAACCGAATTGCATGGAATGCTCAACTCTGCTGAGCAAAACATCAAGAAAAATCGGAGTGACATTTTGATGGTCAAAAAGGGGAAGGGATTCAAGAAGCATGGTAATGTTAAGGTTGGTGGAAACAAGAAATCCAAAACCCTGGTTAAGAACTCGGGTAAAAGCAAATCGGTTGTTGGCTCCTCTTCTAAAGAAGAGCAAAAATGTTTCCACTGCAACAAAACTGGTCATTGGAAGCGGAATTGCAAGACATATTTGGAGGAACTGAAAAAGAAGGGGCATGGTGATGCTTCCAATTCAGGTATCTATGTGATAGAAGTAAATGTTACTACCACTACTCCATGGGTATTGGATACCGGTTGTGGTTCTCACATTTGTTCAAATGTGCAGGGACTAACAAGGAGTAGAAGGCTGGCTAAAGGTGAAGTTGACCTACGAGTAGGCAATGGTGCAAAAGTTGCAGCATTAGCAATAGGGACATTTACTTTGAATTTGCCCACGGGCTTAGTTTTAGAACTTGATAATTGTTATCATGTACCTGCCATTAGCAGGAATATTATTTCTGTTTCTTGTTTGCACAAGAAAGGATTTCATTTTATAATAAAGAACAACACTTGTTCTATTTATTTTAATGAGATCTTTTATGGTAGTGCCAGTCTCATAAATGGACTTTATGTTCTAAACCTTGAAATGCCCATCTATCACATAAATACAAAAAAGGTTTAAATCTAACGACTCAAACCCAACATACCTTTGGCATTGTAGACTAGGCCATATAAATGAGAAGCGCATTAAAAGACTCCATTCTAGTGGATTTCTTGACTCTTTTGATTTTGAATCAATCGAGGAGTGTGAATCTTGTTTATTGGGTAAAATGGCCAAGTCACCATTTACTGGTAAAGGTGAAAGAGTTCACGGTTTATTGGACCTCATACACTCGGATGTATGTGGCCCAATGTCAACAATGGCCAGGGGAGGTTTTCAGTACTTCATAACATTCACTGATGACTTCAGTAGGTTTGGTTATGTGTACCTAATGAAGCATAAACATGAAGCTTTTGAAAAGTTCAAAGAATTCCAGAATGAAGTTCAGAATCAACTTGGCAAAACAATAAAGGCCATTCGATCAGATCGAGGTGGTGAATATTTGAGCCAGGAATTTAGTGATCATCTAAGAGGATGTGGAATTGTTTCACAACTCACTCCACCAGGTACACCACAATGGAATGGTGTGTCCGAACGGAGAAATCGGACCTTGTTAGACATGGTCCGTTCCATGATGAGTCTCGCTGAACTACCAATCTCTTTCTGGGGTTACGCTCTTGAAACCGCTGCATTCATACTCAATAGGGCTCCAACAAAGGCTACAGAAAGGACACCATATGAGATATGGACAGGAAAGGTTCCTAGTCTAGCTTTTGTGAAGATTTGGGGTTGTCAAGTTTATGTAAAACGTTTACTTTCAAATAAACTTGAACCCAAATCAGATAAGTGTTTATTTGTGGGTTATCCTAAGGAAACAAAAGGATATTACTTTTACAACCCATCAGAGAACAAAGTGTTTGTTGCTCGTAATGGTATTTTCTTAGAAAGAGAATTTCTTTCCGAAAGAACCAGTGGGAGTAAAATTCAGCTTGAAGAAGTTCAAGAAGATCAAGATAGTCAGACTATGCAAGCAGTCCCACAATCTCAGCCACAAGTTGTTGTGGATACATCTGAGACAACACTCGCTCCAAGGAGGTCATCTAGGGTACGTAACAAACCAGTTAGATACATGTTTATCTTAACTGAGCATCGCGACGTATTATTAATTGATGAAGACGAACCTTTGACCTACCAAGAAGCAATAATGAGCCATCACTCCGATAGTTGGCTAGAAGCCATGAAATCCGAAATGAGATCCATGGCTGATAATCAAGTCTGGGACTTGGTTGATCTACCTGATGGTTGTAGAACCATTGGGTGCAAATGGATCTACAAAAAGAAATTGGATAAAGATGGCAATATAGATGTGTATAAAGCACGTTTAGTGGCGAAAGGTTACAAACAAATTCATGGTATAGACTATGATGAAACATTCTCGCCAGTTGTCATGCTTAAATCAATTCGGATTCTCTTAGCAATTGCCGCTCATTTTGATTATGATATTTGGCAAATGGATGTCAAAACTGCTTTCCTAAATGGAAATCTAGATGAGGACGTGTATATGATAGAACCTGAGGGTTTTGAACATCCAAGCCATGCTGGGAAGGTATGCAAGCTTAAAAGATCAATATATGGTCTGAAGCAAGCATCTCGGAGTTGGAATCTTCGTTTTGATGCTGCAATCAAAGAGTTTGGTTTCAATCAAAACGAAGAGGAACCTTGTGTTTACAAGAAATTGAGTGGGAGTGCAATCACTTTCCTAGTCCTATATGTAGATGACATACTTCTCATTGGGAATGATGTTCCAATGCTTTCGTCTGTAAAGGCTTGGCTTGGAAAGTGTTTCTCAATGAAAGACTTGGGTGATGCATTCTATGTGTTAGGGATCAAGATCTACAGAGATAGATCTAGAAAACTAATAGGACTAAGTCAAAGTAACTACATTGACAAGGTCCTGCATAGGTTCAATATGCAAGACTCCAAGAGAGGATTCTTGCCTATGTCACATGGCACATATCTCAGCAAGACTCAGTGTCCACAAACACAAGATGAGCGAGATCGGATGAATAGAGTCCCTTATGCTTCTGCTATAGGTTCTATCATGTATGCTATGTTATGTACTCGCCCTGATGTAGCTTGTGCTCTAAGCATGACTAGTAGATACCAGTCAGATCCAGGTGATAGTCACTGGATAGCAGTCAAGAATATTCTAAAGTACTTGAGAAGAACTAAGGATGTATTCTTGGTCTATGGTGGTGAAGATCAGCTCATTGTAAATGGTTACACAGATGCTGGGTTCCAAGACTACTCCCGTGCAAGCACGCTTAACTTTGGAGTTCTTGGGTGATGAGCTCCCTTAAAAGGAGATGCACCTCTGTTTTTATGAGTAGTACTATTAATCCGTTTATATTAAATCTCAAGTGTTACAATCACCCCCACTTAGAAACGCAACGTCCTCGTTGCGCCCTTAAACCAATCTCAATCAAACCCCAGAATCTTTCCCCCTGCTAGGTGTCTGCCCGATATCCAACAGATCAGCACACTGTCGCAGGGTTGCTCTGATACCATCTGTAACACTTGAGATTTAATATAAACGGATTAATAGTACTACTCATACTAACAGAGGTGCATCTCCTTTTAAGGGAGCTCATTACCTAAGAGCTCCAAAGTTAAGCGTGCTTGCTCGGGAGTAGTCTTGGGATGGGTGTGTTGGAAATATGCCCTAGGACAATCATAGTTTATGATTTATCAATAAATATTTAATGCTCATTAATTAATAAAGTCACAAACTCATTTTATGTTAATTATTATTGTGAGTTTTCTTTATTAATATTTAGTCCCTGAATATTCTGTTTAGTAGCTAATTAAGTATGTGACTTAATTGTGGAATGCTACACTTTAAATTAAACATAATATTCTAATTGTCCCTGGTCTAATATTATTAATTTGGGACATTAATAATTAATAGACCAGTATGTTGATTAACTGATGGCTATATTCCACTAGTCATGGGTATAGAGATATCAAGTTAATAACATAGATACTTGTTAGGGAACAAGTTCATTGGACAGACCCAACTTGAGGACACTGCTAGGTTATATGTCATCAGTGTTGTCCTCAATAATGATGAGGTGCTATATTCTTATACTTGAGATAATCATGGTTACTAACATGAGAATTAATATGTATTAACACCATTAAATGTTATCTTTAACTGGGTAATTATAAAGGTGGTGATTGTACATATTATGAACCATGTAGTAGTATGTGAATTATCAAGATAGTTTTTGTCACTCTTGTATATCGAGAGAAAGATATCTATTGGGCCCCTTGACAAGTAAGATTAATTAGCATGGCCATGCACAAATGAGGTGTCATTTGATCGAGATTAATCTTACTTGGTAATCAAGAAATATTAATTGAGAATAACAAGGATGACACGACCTAACCTTGTCTCAATTAAGATATCGTTTGACAAAAGAGAATTGTTAGCACAAATTAATCATTAAAAGGTTATGTCAGATTTAATTGACATTTATATATTTTTTGGATAGTCATAATGCCTTGCTAGAGGCCGCTTATGATTTGTGAGGCTCGAATTAATTTCTAGCCCACTACCAATAATATATAAACCTACAGGGTCACACACCTAAGTGATTTGGATCATTAATGTTTGTTAATAACATTAAAATAGCTTGATTAGCCCAATTCGAAATAGGTTTTCGAATGGTATTGGGCTAGGGCCTCTTTAAGGGTTTTATTAGCCATAAAACCCCTTCTTTACTCCTCTTATAAATAGGGCCATATAGACCCACGAATTTTAAGAGTTAAAATTCACTTCTCAAACCTAGAGTAGAGAGGAAGAAAGAAGAGAACGCTAGCACGTTCCCTGCGGCCGATCCAGTCACGTGCGTGTGGATACCGGTAGAGCTCGGGATCGTTTTCTCGGACTGTCTGACATCCTTGATTAAGATTAATATGTAAGTCCCTCTTATGTCTTGTAATTTCGTTTATAATATGAACCTCAGATCCGATTGTTTACTTTTGGGTAGTAAAATTTTTGTTTATTCCGCTGCGTTTTTCTACCCGAAACCCAACAGGGTGACCCCCTGGGAAGTTTCTCAGGGCGCGCATGAGTGAGGACAAAGTGCGCGGTAAAGGCTCGTGGTGGTTTGTGGGGACAGTACTATTGGTCCGGAGTAACTACCTCGGGTCCGGTGGGGCCGGGGTGTTACAGGTGGTATCAGAGCAACCCCGCGACAGTGTGCTGACCCGTTGGATATCAGGCGGGCACTTAGCGGGGGAAGATTCTGGGATTTGATTGAGATTTGAGATTGGTTCATGGGCGCAACGAGGACGTTGCGATCCTAAGTGGGGGTGATTGTAACACTTGAGATTTAATATAAACGGATTAATAGTACTACTCATACTAACAGAGGTGCATCTCCTTTTAAGGGAGCTCATTACCTAAGAACTCCAAAGTTAAGCGTGCTTGCTCGGGAGTAGTCTTGGGATGGGTGATCCCCTGGGAAGTTTCTCAGGGCGCGCATGAGTGAGGACAAAGTGCGCGGTAAAGGCTCGTGGTGGTTTGTGGGGACAGTACTATTGGTCCGGAGTAACTACCTCGGGTCCGGTGGGGCCGGGGTGTTACAGCCGTTGCCGGGGACGGTGTCGGATTTAAGGGTTAATTAATTTTAGCGACTTGTTTTTAGTTTTTCGTAGAATTTTTGTCTGCTAACCTTGCAGGTTAGATCTGTTTATGCATACACGCTCTAAGAAGGGAGAATCACTAGTCCCTCTTAATCCTGAGATCGAGAAGCTAGCTAAGCAGAACCGCAAGGCTTTTAGAGAACAGAAAGAAACCATGGATCAACCATCCGCATCTGGAATAGCTGGGACGTCTGAGGTCCAAACCACTTCTGGTAACCTTGATTTTTATGTCAATACCTCTCCCCAGTCTTCACCGCCTATTTCACCTAAAAATTACCCGGGATTTCAGAATTCCCGCGCACCTTTTTTTCCTCAAAATCAGGCCACGCC